GTGTGGAGGAGGAGCAGAGCCGAGGTGGGGGAGTCCCCCGCTCCCCGGTGCGGGCCCCCCCAGACTCCCCGACAACCCCAGTTCGTTCTCTGCGCTACCGGAGGGTCAACAGCCCCGAGTCGGAGAGGTTGTCCACGGCGGACGGGCGAGTGGAGCTGCACGAAAGGAGGTGTGTCCGGGGCCGCGTGGGTCTGGGCTTGGTCCCCTCCACCTTTGTGGGCTGGTCTGGAGGAAGGTCAGCTGTGAGGAGCCCAGAGGCCTGGGTTCGGCAGGTCGTGGTCGGTGATGGGGCCAGAGAAGGGTGTCAGGGCTGGCTGTAGGAGGGCCAGGCTGGGTCCCTGGAACCAGGAGGGGCAAAGGGTGACTGGCGGGTAGGCAATGCTTCCGGAATCTCTTTTCCCAGAGACAGATGCTTCAGGCGCAGCTGTGGCAGGCTCCCTGAGCGTCAGGGAAGATTCATGGACCTACTGGGAGGGAGGATAGGCCAAGCTTGGGAGTAGGGCAGGGACTGAAGGCAGGGTACAGGGACACACGGGAGCCTAGGAGGTGAGAGGGAGCTCAGGGCAGTTTGTAGCCTGGGCGAGCCTTTAGGAAGGGCATGGGAAGGTGGTCGCCGACCTTGGTGGAGGGTGACTGGCAGGGTCATAGCTGTTGGTGGGACAGCATCAGTGGAGAGGTCCCTGAGAGGTGTTCCCACTGCCCTTGGCCTCCGAGTGGGGCTTCACTTCACAGGGCCTGGGGCCTTCCCTGCACCTGGGAAGGGGGCTATTCCTGAGATCCAGCCTGGAGACTGTGGGGTCCTCTCCTTGCGACCTACTGCAGCCACGGCTCCTCCTCTGGAGTCTGTCCCAAACTGCACTGTGCCCTGGAATGGGGCGCAGGGCCACTGTGGAGATGCCCGACTTCAGGGAGCCGAGAGTCCTCATCCACACACGCAGGCTGGCCTACCGGGACTGAGGACTGCATTTCATCCACGTGGCCTGGAGGCTCCGGCCACGGAGAGCAGCAGGGATAGGAGGGATAGGAGTGGGGAAGAGAGCTGGGACGGCCCTGGACAAGCCAGCCCGGGCTGCCCGCTCTCAGGGAGTGGGGAACAAACTGGATCGGGGTGTGGCAAAGCCCACTTTCAGGGATGACTGGGGAAGGAGAGGCCAGGGAGGCTACCCAGGACTAACTGGCAGGTTCAGGATCTCACAGACCGGACAGCGGCTTCCCCAGAGCTTCAGGGTACTTGGGAGCAGACAAAGAACAAAGCAGGTGGGATGTGGGTTTCCCACCTCTGCCCTGTCTGTAGCCCTCCCCACAAACACATGCACGTGCATGCGCGCGCGCACACACACACACACACACACACATGCACACACACATACGCACACACACACAGATTCCGATTCAGCCCCTCACTTCCTTTGGCACCCTCTCATTGTGCTCTCAGGAAAGGAAGTGATGTCAGTCCTTTACATGGGAGTATGAGGCCGTGGGTGGCCTCTCCTGGGGGTTTGATTCCAAGCCTTACCAACAAATTACTAAAAGCTCTGTGCAGGCACATTTGGCAGGTCCCCTGTAGGCTGGGCTGGGAGCATTTTGAGGAGGCCCCAAGGCAGCTTTAATCTGCTCCCCATCTCTCTGGAGTTGAAGAGCCTTTGGGCCACAGGCTTGATGTCGGAGAAGTAACAGCAGCCCTTGCCCAGAGCCTGACCGTGAGGGTGCATGTGCACAGACCCAGATGCTTCAGGCCTCAGAGGAGCTCAGAGGGGTGCCCTGGCATCTGGAGAGGGTGATTCTTCCTGTGTAGCAACCCTTCCCTCCCCACACATAATCGCACTCCTGGGAATACCATGCCCTAGGGCTGGCAGCCCACCCCCACCAGGCTGAGAAATTCTGGAAGCAGTATGATATTCCCAGCACAGTTCAGGATGCTGACAAAAGAGGCTTCCCAGGGCAGCACCAGCCCCCTGAGGTAAATGTGAGATGGGGGTGGGGGAACAGCAGATGGCATGGTGGTTGCGTCAGTGGACTCCCACATGACTGACTGTGGTTTGAGTCTTGGGCCTGGTGGCTTAAAACTCACATTGGGTGTTGGAACCAGCAGTTGGCGTAATGGCTATGTTGCTGGACTCCCATGTAGTCGACCATGGTTTGAGTCCTGGACCTGGTGGCTTAAACTCACATCTGGTGCATGTGCGTGCGTGCCCAAGATCCTGAGAGGAGACTGGCCATCTCCCCTGGGGGGTGATTTCTCATTTTCTGTCTCTCTGTCTTTCTGGCAAGTGCATGTGCCCTATAGCAAAAATCTCTCCAAAAAAGAAAAAAAAAAAAACACAAAACTCACACTGGGCGCATGTGCATGCACACCCAACACCCAAGATCCCAGGAGGAGAAGGGATTGCTGTGTGGCTATCCCCCTGGGGAGTGATTTCTCTCTCTCTGTTTTTCCCTGTCTCTCTGGCAAGTGCATGCTCTCTAGAGTACTCTCTCTCTCAATCAATCAATCAATCAATCAGTCAATCAATCAATAAGGGATGGGACCTGGTTCCTGCCAGGCAGCACACACAGTCTCTTGGGGAGGCAAATATGCAGATGGACATGAAGTCTCTCTGATGAGGGGGCCAGAAGGTGTCCTGTGGGACAAACCAACCACCCATGGGGGTGACATGGAGCTGGGTGAAACAGCCAGGGTGTAAGGACAGGCGGTGTGGGCAGTGAGAGGCCAGGAGAGGGGCCAGTGTGAAGGTGTGTATAAAGGCCCAGAGGTGCAGGAGTCTGCAATTTGGGGAAAAGTGAGCGAATCTGAGATGAGTCTGGCTAGGCGATGGGGAAGCCACCTTAGGCTGTGAGGAGCTCGGAGTGAAAACTAGGCAATCAAGACTTTGTTCTTGGGCCTGGGGACTCTGGAGTTTGCTAAGCTGTGGTGGACAAAGCCCATCCATCCACGTGGGAGTGATGAAACGAGCCAGGCAGGCCTGGGGTGGTGGTAGAAGGAGCTGGAAAAGCCAGCTGGGATCCCGAGGCAGCTGGGTATAGCAGCAGAGAGCCACTGACAGGGTCTGGGCCCAGGAGGAGCAAGAGCAAAGTCAGCTTTGGGAAGATCAGACGCCCCTCAGTGGCCCAGACGGCAGCCTTCCTTGGGCATGAGGACCGGAGTGTGTTCTGCATGTTCATGCTCTTCGAAGATAAACATTCACAACACTCGTTCAGATAATGAACCACATGCATGAATGAGTGCACTAGTGAGGTAAGTCTTCAGTGTTTACAGATGGCTGGATAGCGACACCCCAGGAGGTGGCTGGGGGTGGGTGCTGTGGTCAGGAGGTTTCAGGAGTCACGTGCTACTCTGCCACCTGCTTGGGGTCCAGAGAGGCCAAGCACTGAGCCCCACTGCTTTGCAGGTCACGGATGGATCTGCCCGGCTCGCCCTCGCGCCAGGCCTGCTCCTCGCAGCCGGCCCAGATGCTGTCAGTGGACACAGGTCATGCCGACAGGCAGGCCAGCGGCCGCATGGACGTGTCAGCCTCCGTGGAGCAGGAGGCCCTGAGCAACGCCTTCCGCTCCGTGCCACTGGCCGAGGAGGAGGATTTCGACAGCAAGGAGTGGGTCATCATTGACAAGGAGACGGAGCTCAAGGACTTCCCCCCAGGGGCCGAGCCCAGCACGTCGGGCACCACGGATGAGGAGCCAGAGGAGCTGCGGCCGCTGCCCGAGGAGGGCGAGGAGAGGCGGCGGCCCGGGCCAGAGCCCACTGTCCGACCTCGGGGACGCGGCATGCAGACGCTGGCCGAGGAGGACCTGCGGCAGATGCCATCCCACCCCCCACCACCCCAGCTGAGCCAGGCTGAAGGCCGGTCGGAGACATCACAGCCCCCCACACCCGGCAGCCCTTCCCATTCACCGCTGCACTCGGGACCGCGTCCTCGGAGGAGAGAGTCGGATCCCACAGGCCCGCAGAGACAGGTAAGTTTGGGCTCGCACCCCATCCCCATCCTAGCAGCCAGTTTGTGGGCCTGGAGTGCTGCTGTGTGTGGGCGCAGCCAGCGGGTGACCCAGTAGTGGAGGCAGACAGGTTCTAGAGTCTGAAACCATGCTGCGGGCAGCCAGGCTTCCAGAGGAAGTGCCCTTCATGTCCGAGCTGAGTCTCGCATGATAAGCAGTGCAGCAGGTGACAGAGCAGGAGAGCCCTCCCGGGCCGAGGGGACGGTGCGTGCGAAGGCCTGGAGGTGGCGATCGGAAACCACTGCACCAGTTGCACGTGGCAGCAGATGAGGCTGCAAGGCAGGTCCTGGGGCCCCGCCATGGAGGGCCCTGGGTATGCTAAGTGTCGGGGCTTGGTTCTGAAAGCTTGGTGAGCCACCCAAGGCTTTTCGGCAGGGCCGCAACATGCTTGCATTGGTATTTTTGACTGATCCTCTGGCTGCTGTGTGGAAAATGGACTGAAGGGCACAAAACTAGAAGCAGGAAGACATCACAGTGGGTGGTAGCAGGAGAGCACATGGAGACCTGGGGACTGTGGGTACGGGGTACGGGAGACACAGCCCGGACTTGTGGGGGGCCCTTGCTGCAATGGAGTACAGGCGGGGAGGGGCATCTTAACTGATGCCCAGGGCTCCGGGGGGACTGTGAGAGCAGTCTCAAAGGGAGCATGGATTCAGATTTGGATTCAGTGTCCTTGCGGAGTCTGCATGATGTCCACATGGAGGCATCAAGGCTCAGGAGAGTGCTTAGCTGCAGGTACAGAGCTGGGGGTTTTGGAAACCATGGGAGTGTGACCCAAGGACATTATGCAGGACAGGGAGGACTTGGGGTGAGGGCAGAGCTGGGGCGTGCTCACATCTGGGGGACTGAGAGGAAAAGCAGACCATAATAATGTCTGGGAAGGAGGGGACAGAGTGCAAGGAGCACCAGGAGAGTCACCAGGATCAGGGAAGGAGAGGGCCACGGGGTCAGCAGGGAGGGGCAGGAGGTGGCTCCCAGCAGGATCCTGAGAGCCAGGACAGATGGCAGTGGGGAGAAGTGAAGCCAGAGTGGAAGCCTGAGCACAGGGACAGGTGTGCTGGGGGCCCTGGGGGGCTCAGTCTGAATGCAATATCACCTTCTCCCATGGGAAGGCTGAGGGGCAGGGTGGAAGGGCAAGGACAGGCCAGATGGTGGCTGAATCTCACATGCTGGGCTGAGTCTGAAGCACTGTGTTTCAGTAATTCTCTCCTGACAAGGACTGGGTGTCGGGATAGGCAGAGAGCCACTGGCCTGGCCTCTCTGACCTGGGTGTGGACACAAATGCTTGCACCGTGTTTCGAGCCGGATCTGGCCCACAGTCCCCAGAAGGGCTGGGGAGAGCCGAGGAGGTGATGGTGGAAGGATCCCAGGGCTGTGCTGTGTTCCCCTTGATGGCCCCATGTTGGGAAGTGCCTTGGTGCAGAACTGGGGGCCCATTCTGCCACTTGCTCAGAGTGGGTGTCCTGTCCTGGGATCTGTGGGCACACTGAGCAGGGCAGCTTGGGGCAGGGGTGTATATTCAGTCCCCACTCCTGTCTAGAGTTCCTTCTAGAAGAGCGCTGTTCCTGACCTGTGTACATTCTGGCTTCTCCCTGAACCCTGAAAATCGGGGGCTTGAGAAGTGAGGATTGTGAGTCCCTGCCCAGAAAGGTGCTAGCTGTGTGAGTTGAAGGCTCTGCCCAGCAGGGTGTGGGCTGGCATGGCTGTGCTGTGACCTGGTCATCGTCCCACCACGACCCGCTGGGTAGGAGGAGGAACGAGATCTGTCCAAGGCTCCTCATTCCCCGCCCGTTCATTCATTGGCCCTCACGGAGGGTTTGCTCTCTGCCAGGCCCCAGCGGCATCAGAGAGGCCATGAGCAACAGGTCATGCCCACGGGAGTGCAGAGTCAGGGAGGGTGACGGTGATGGGGTGGGGCCAGAGAAAACCCTGTATCAAGTCAGGAGGCTGAGCTTCTGGGCCCTGGGCCGGCTCCGCTGGTCCCTTCCCCGCGATTGTAGGCCGCTTCCTGGTCTCTGAGTGGGGCAGCCGAGCGACCTCTGAGGTATTTCCGTCCTTCGGATTCCTACCCACATTGGAGCATTCTGGCCAAGTGGGTGAGAAGAGAGACCTGGGGGCAGGCCCAGGACTACTGTGCAGTCGGCCCCAGGCTCCGATCCAGATCCTGACGTGGATGGGCGCAGCCTGTCTTGGTGAGAGATGAGCCGTGTGTCTGCGAGGTGAGATGTTTGAGGGCCTTGGTGTCCCCAGTGCCCAGAAATGAGGTCGGTTAGCATTCTGTGACTGCGTGCGCACCCTGCATCCGCTGAGCTCAGGTGTGCACTGGCGTGCGCCTGTGCCCACACATGTGTGCCTGTATATGAGTGCAAGTGTCGGAGAGTCTGTGCAGGGAACCAGGGGAGTGTAGACCATCCAATGTGGGAGGAAGCGAACGAGTGTAATTCTCTGATGACAGTAACAGTAGCCAGCACATTTTTTTCCCATAGAAGTTTTTGCCTTAGGGCACGTGCACTTGCCAGAGAGAAAGACAGAGACAGAGACAGTGATAGAGGAAAGTAAGAAATCACCCCCGGGGGGGGGGATGGCTACTCCACAGTCCCTTCTCCTGAATTGTCCTCCCGGGACCTTGGACACGCATGCACACATACCCAGTGTGATTTTCAAGCCATCAGGTCCGGGACTTGAACCGTGGTCAGCCATGTGGGAGTCCAACGACATACCGCTACACCATCTGCTGATCCCAGCACCTACTAGTCCTTGGTTTTATTGCCAGAAGGTGTGTGTTCTCCAGAAAGAGAAAGCATGCCCAGTGGCTGTGGTCACGCTGCAATCCCTTTACTTCTCATCCTGCCAGCATCTGAGGCTTGCACACACGTAAGCCTGAGTGTTCTCAAACCACAGGGACTGGAATTCGAATCACAGTCAGCCCTGTGAATTGGCTCCCTGTGCACGGGGCCTAGCCAGTGTGCTATGGGGCGGGCTCTTCCTGTCTTTATGACATGCTACATGCCGGCCACTGCTCTAAGCACCTGCATATTTCACGTATACATTCTGCACAACAACGAGAGGGACTGGGTAGCTCTCACGTACAAGGAAAGGGCACCGAGACTCAGAGCAGCTAGGTTTCAGCCCCGAGTCTCCAGCCAATAAGTGGGGGAGCTGTAATTTGAGCACAGGCAGCTGGTTCCAGTTCTGTGTTCCGAACCACTCAGCCCAGGGCCTGTGTGCTAAGCTGAGGAACTAATACGGGCCTGAGAGAGCAGGTGGTTTGTGCTGGTAAGAGAGAGCCTGGAGCATGCTTGTGTATGCATGTGTGCATAGTGCACGTGTGTGCATGAACATGTGCTTGTGTGTGTACATGCTTACATGCTCATGTGCCCTGCTGACCAGGCCATGTCGGCAGGTGTGTCTGTGAGCCTGTCCATGTGCATGGCAGCCTGGGTGTGCCCGTGGATGAACACAGGCTGTGATGTGTTTTGCCAGGTATTTCAAGACAGCAGGGAGAAGCAGAGCACTCCCTTTCTCAAGGGTAAGGGAGGGGGAGCCGTGAACTGGCATCTTTTCTCCTCTTTTCTCTGGGTTGGACTGGAGAGGGTGCTGAGCCCAGCCTACGGAAGAGGTGCCAGCTCCAAGTCCTGGCTGCTTGCTGGAATCAGAATGGTTGACTCTCCACCCCCAGGGGCTCAATTATGCGGCTAGGGGAGGCGGGGAGTCTACAGGGACACCCCCTCCCCAGCCACCTTTCTGCAGGAATCCCTCCTGGACCTGGCTGGGTCTGCTCAGTGTCTGAGGTGTGAGCGTCCACATAACTGCAGTCATTAACAGCAGGAGCATCTGCAACTCTGTCACCTCTACCCGTGGGAGCAGGGGTGAGAATCACATGGAACCAGGCACAATTTTAAAGCATCTGTTATCCTCTGGTGTGCACGACGTGAGACTGAAATATTTTCTTTACGTGCACCTCACTTTCTTCACAAGGGCCAAACAAGGCAGGGCAGAGGGCAGGCAGGCCAGGCTGGCGTGTGATGAGGCGTGATGGGGCGGGTGGTGTTTGCATTCTTTGCAGGCTGTCTCCGGTTGGTAACACATCCTGTCAGCGTTCCCTGAGTACACAGACACTTGCTTACAGTCACCAAAACAGTTCCCTGCCACGAGCTGGGTGGTGTGCTCTCAGCTGGGGGTCAAAGATCATTA